GAAATTGTTTTGGGGGCTCTAACCATTCCGAGTTATCAAGGCACTTTCCTCCCAGTCTTTCGTTCCACCCCAATACCCAACTTTTGGGTCAAAATGACCTACCAGCACTACAGGTGAAGAATGAGGATAATTTAGCCACAATACTATATACAGTACAATTCTGTATTGTAAGCACTTAAAGCACCAACCTTACCAGTGAATGCCTGGGAGGCGTTCACTGAACCAGTGCAAGACAGAGACGTATGCCAGAGTGGTTATTATTTTTTTTTGTTACATGCACGGACAATCTTTCATACAGGATGTGCAAAAAAAAAAATAAGGTCAAAAGCAACAAGGAATAAACTTTTCTTACATGTGTGGGAGTTGTCACACACAGCTGGGGAAGGGAAGGGGGGAATGGTGTGGGGGATCTCTCTCAGCTGTTCGCTGTCTCGTGTATACAGTAGTTAAATGATTGCCAAATGACGATGCATTATTTTTTCTTTTATTTTATTTATTAGTACCTGTATATATTATTTTATTTACAAAGAATAGCTCCTCTGGGGGACTTGACACAGTTCAGCTACCCAGCTGACTCGCATCAGGGAAGGGTGGGAGGGAGCAGTACAGTTACATTTACAGCAGACTGCCTCCTCACGCAAACGTTCATTTCTCTCACATACACACTCACGCTCTTCATATTTCTTATTTTATATTTTTATGCTATATTTTCTTTATTTCTAAGCCACAGTAGAGTACTATACTGTATTGTAATAATTTTTTTCTCAAACGATCATGGACAAGTGATAAATATGCTGAGCAAGCAGGAGATAATGGGTGGGTTGGCTAGCACAAGAGTGGGACCCAAGCATAAGGTTACACATGTTATGCCATTCTGAGATTGTGTCATCATATTGCAGAATATTCGAGTTGTGCAAAATATATTTTTTATGTCAAATAATTAAAAAATAATTTACAGTAGAATATTTTAAGTTATATGAGTTCTTCAAACTACTATGTTTTTGGTTTACTGCATTTATAAGTCCTCTAATTTGAATACAGTATCTTGATATTTGGAGGTTGATTTTTACCATTTGCAGTCCGGTATTATTTATCTTGCTCCAGAAACTTCTTGTAGATTCCCCTCACACAGGAAAGGACATTGTGTTTTAAGAGAGGAAACGATGAACACTGGCATAGATACCAGGTGTCCCTCCGCCCCAAGAGGCAGGAGGAAGATTTGGACACTGATTTAATTTTCATGCATATCTCTTCACACACTTTTCAGACCACTGACCAGCTGACATAGTGATGTTCCCAGGTGCCCATGTAAGCACCTTAGCTTCTTCTGTTGATCGGAAAAAGTAACAAAAACTTTTTGCGACTTTGGGGTCTTCATTCATTTCACAAAGCACAAGATAACAAAGTTTGTATCTTTGAAATATGAATAACACTAAACACCAGAGCATAGTGTAGGTGTTAATCACATGGGTATGGCTTGATAGAGCTCACATAGGTTCAACTTTGGCCTATTGCACAACATTGCATAGTACAGTAGTGAAATTTAATTCTTTCCACATTCCTGGTTTCCTCCCAATTGGATGTTTTTTTGAATTTGTACCGAGGTTAAAATGGCTGGAGTTTGGAGAGATGGATAATTGATACACTACCGATATTTGAGAAATGTATATACTGTCCTGTACTGGTAATTAGAGTAATAAAGATTGCACCATGTTCCCAAACAATTTAATCAAATTTTTTTTCCATTTATTAGTAATAAAAACTTTCATATCTTACAGGTGGTAGTAAACAACATATTTGAGGCAACATTTGTAAATGAAGGAACAAGAGAAGCTCTGAGTCGTAATGGCAGGGATCTTCTTGCTACAATTGCAGCCAAGCACCCGTTATCTATTTCATATCTGCTTACTGCAACTCAGGTACCATTGATGCATCAGTCTTCTTGTCACTTTTGAAACAATGTTACAAAGTAATACAGTATTTTGTAATTGATATTCTTTGATTAAAGTGCATGGAGTAGCAAGGTCTTTTGAGAATCATTGACTGTAAGTATATTGTAATGTAATGGCTTTATAGCATGACTAATGAATTATTGGATGGCAAAGAGGATTTGAGAAGTGCACTTGAAAGGAAGAGAGGAGAGATACTGTATATACTGTGTGAAATTCTTGAAGTTAAAGATTGTTTCAACATTTTAAATCACTATAAAAGTTAATACCTGTACCAGAAGAGTTGGTTGAAGCTGTACTCTAATAAATTATACTGTACATGAAATTGGAAAAATATTGAGACACAAATTTCATTAACAGATTAACTTATGAGAGAAGATAAGAGAGATGAAAACTTTGTGTTGCATGTAAGGCTTGTTACATTTGCCATTATCTAAGGATATGAATAGATTTAGTTCACAGCTTATGTTTTAATTTATGATCCGTTAACATGATTTTATTGTTTTGTCTTGTTTTATTCCCCTCATGGGGCTTTGTATAACCTATCACTTCCTTTAAATTTGAATGAAGAAAGCTAATAAAAAAGTATGTACAATACAGTACAGTAGTTAGATTTAAGGTATTGATTGGAGATTTTGTATGTACAGTGTACCATGTTAAACTTTGCCCACTCTTAGAACTGAAAAGCCAAAATTGAAAATATATTAACCCAACCTTGCCAGCTGAGACTAACTTTTAATTATTTTTAAGATGCTGGAACTAGGTAATAAGTATTTTATTTAAACTATTTCAGGAATGGATATCAAATGTAGGGGGTATGGCACTCTACTTATTCCGTGCCCTGCCTTTGGAATTGTGGGAGCCTGGTAATGATGATGTAACATGTGTGTCCCATTGGTTACTGTTCATGCCAGCAGCCAGTGTTGAGAATCAGCTGGCAAGAATTATTTTCAGCAAGCTCAACTGGGGAGAGAATGAGACTGAGTGTCAACTTGTGCTTCAACAAGAACTGCATCGAAAGGTAATTATCTCTTAAAATATTGTGTGTTGATTTTATTTAAGAATAAAAAATAAAAGCCAGTACTCTATATATATATATATATATATATATATATATATATATATATATATATATATATATATATATATATATATATATATATATATATATATATATATATATATATATATATATATATATATATATATATATATATATATATATATGCAATATATATATATATATATATATATATAATAATAATATACAATATATATATATATATTTTTTTTTTTTTTTTTCAGTGTTTCATATTTTGAAATTCTACCAGATATTATGAAATTTGTAATACTGTACTGTATATATTTTTTAACAGAAAACGTTTCAAATTATGATTGATTTCCAATTTGAGGGATACGAATTGTGGGGGTTTTACTGTACTGTACAGTGAAGAATCTTTTTAAATTTTCAAAACTCATAAAATTAATGTATACAGGTGGCGCTGACTGTATTGGAGGCTCATATTAAGATATGTCGTGATTTGTATTCTGGAAGCTTGCTGACTGAAGGAGTTAAGCAAGTCACTTCTGTTATGTACTCTCCATCTCCAGAACAGGTTAGATGATTTCACTGAATATGTTTTATATCTTGAGTATCATTAAAAGATGCTGAGAGAAGCTTAATAGATTACTGTAGTTATATTACACACACAGGGTAGATGTATATATGATTACCACTTACATTCCACTTTTTTCTTTATTTTTGCTATTCTGTGACTAATCACTTCAACTTCCATATGTTGTTCCTTTAACTCTCTTCTTGTGAGTTTGTAAAGTCACAATTTATATCGTGGAAGATACAGTATGTTGAGAAAACAGGCAAGATAAACAAGGAGTTGTATAAGGCGGCTGAAAAGATGGTCCCACTTTATGTCATAGAGGAATCACTTTGTTACTGACAAATAACTGGGAGAACCAAGTAAATGTATCTTCAAAATCATGCCCATTAAACAAAAGGTCTGCACTTGTGCTTATTATATGTGCAATCAAAATCATTAATTAAGATGGTTTTTCTGTACAGATGTTCTTTAATTGGTCTTGGGAACTGCTTATACGTCTGAGACTCCACCGACTAGACCAGCCTAAGGCACAGGTTCAAGCTGCCCTGGCCTCTCCATCATCACTCCTTGTGGACATGCCAGACCCAACCTCAGCAGCAATAACTCAAGCGTAAGTGATGACCCATAGTAGTTAGTGTGTCTTCTTATTATATGCTTTATTATTTCCTATTGTCATTAACTTTTTTCTTTCCTCAGCTTCAGACTCAGGCATCTGTGAGGACTTACTCTCTCATTGTTAGTTGAGGAATTTTCAGTGTTATATATGCTTTAGTATTCATGCCGACCTGATTTCATACCACTGGATAGGCTGCATTTGGTTTAATGTGAACATAACTGATCATTTGATGCCAAGACCCCAAAGTACTCAATTCATCTCACCTGGGAGGTTCTTCCTTATGAAAACAGAGACTTGACATAAAGATGGTGATAGTTGACATCGGTGCTCTAATTTTATGTCTTTTAATTCAGTGTTTGGTGATTTTTTAAAGCTATTAAACATTTTTGTATAGTTTAAAAACACTTGAACACTTTTGGTGTGCACACACAAAATATTTTCCTTTGAGTGCTTAATATGCATACAGCATTTGCAACAAACACAACAATTTTTAAACAACCTATGCTGTTCCACAACTCATCCCAGGCAACACCAGGAGGTGCTGCTGTCTATCGAGTGTGAGAGTTAAATGTCTCGTGCAGGCAATACCTCACAAAATAAACTAACGCCATCCAGGAAGGCCCTTTAAAGACTCCATATTTCTGTTTTTTCTTTTTACCTTAAATAAGGAAAAATTGGGGTACTTTAATGTCAAGATAATTGATATAATGTCTTTTACATATAAGTTATATAAACCAGGGATATACACCATTAATTTATGATGTTTAGATGAAAGATAATGTAGCACTGCTTTGTTTACAAGCATAATGCAGTAGATTTTATTTAATTTCACCCGTGGTATATTTTTTCCCTCTCCCATTCCAGCTTATTCAAAATTATGAGTGGGAAGTAAAATGCAGCCAGCAACATGAGTACAGGCAATGACTGTTATATGATGGGGTTAGGGACCTCAAAAAGCAATCGCTAAGTGATTGATTGTATATCGATATTAATAAATTTTGGGGGGAAATAGGTTCCGTTCCTGAGCTCCTCAAGAGCCCAAACAAGTTTTATATCCTGTTACATGCATACAAAATGTGCAAAGAAAAATAATTATTATTATAAGGTCAAAAACAGATAATAAAAATGGTTCATATATCCACGATAGTTAGTGTGCAATTGTGGGAGGGGAGTGTTGGTAGTTGTGGTGAGCATTGGGGAGGATGGTGAGTGGTGGTGGTAGTGGGTGAATGTTATTGGTGATGGTGAGTGTTGGTGAGGACTCCATTCTTTTATATAA